AGCGGCATTATTAATTATTATCTTTCTTCAACAACAACAACAACAACAACAACAACAACAACAATAACAACAACAACAACAACAACAACAACAAGAGAATATATTTATACGTATCTCTTACATATATAATATAGTTACGACTTACATATATATGTATACACATATATATATGTATGTATACACTATATCTCTAATACATTCAATTATGTATATAACTATATATATATATATATATATATATATATATATATATATATATATATACATACAACAGACGATTTTTACTATGTAACAACTAACACGGGACTAAGAATGGAATGTTCACGTGACAGCTGTCTCTCTCGACACACGCGATATCGATTGTTCTCCAAAAATGATACTCGGCACGACCTGCCTAATGTCTGCACCAAGATCCTTACGAGACTTTTAATTAGATCAAAGGCGACATTTCTCTCTCTCTCTCTCTCTCTCTCTCTCTCTCTCTCTCTCCCTCTATCTTTTCTTTTTCTTTATCTTTTTCTTTGTCCATCGCTTTAAACATTTCGCCTCTTTATCGTCTTTACTTAACTTTTTCTTTTTCTATTCGAGATAAAGAAACTTTTCAAGGACTTTCTCTATCTCTCTTTCTCTCTCTCTTTCTCTTTTTCTCTCTCTCTCTCTCTCTTTCATTTTCTCTCTTTTTCTTTCTCTTTTGACGTTATCTTATTCGCCTTTGATCTAAAAAAAGTCTATTTTGTGTTGTGTATTTGTGCCTCGTGCGTTGTTCCCATATACGATCGTGCATCACTATTATATAATATTAGATCGGAATCGATAGATCCTTTTTTTGTCAATTTGCAATTGCAACCGCAATTGTAATTGTAATTGTAATTGTAATTGTAATTGTAATTGTAATTGTAATTGTAATTGTAATTGTAATTGTAATTGTAATTCCATTATAACGAACAACACGGCGAATGGGTACGGCCGTATGATCGTCTCTTCCCCGTTTGCCCACAAACCCCCATATCTCTGACATACCCATACTCAACCACCCTTATAAAAGTTTCGATTAACCGTGAATTTTCAATGACGCTTTTATTATTAAACGTTTTTTAATATCTCAAAATCGATATTATCGACTTTTCTGATTTTCCGAAAAATGATTTATATTTATATATATATAAATATATGTATAAACCTTAAACTATTTATTTTTAATATTTAAAACGTATGCAATGATATTTTATTTCATTTTATTTGTTTATTAAGTAATTAATTAATTTATTCAATTTATTTACTTTTAATATTATTTAAATGAATAATGTAATGACATTTTGTTTCTTCTTTTTTTTTTCTTTTTTTTTTTTTTTATTTGTTAAATAATTCTTTTCTTTCCTTTTTTTTCTCTCCATCGCGTAAAATCTCACATACATTTGATAATGAAATGAAATGAGAAACAGAAAAATAATGTACGCGTAATAAAAAAAAAGAGGCGTTCATTCTTATAAAAAAAAAAAAAAAAAAAAAAAAAATATATATATTTATTTTAATAAATATCTCATTAGTCGTGTATCTTTTCAAAATATTTTTTCACAGTGTCTGGATAATTAATTTATCATAGTGATTAAAGTTTTGCATCATGTCTATTGGTTCAAAGGAAAAAAAAAAAAAAAGAAAAGAAAAAAAAAAGAAGAAAGAAAGAAAAAAGAAAAAGATTAAGGTTTCAAAACTTTTGCAAAAAGATAAACAAAAATAGATCTCATAAATTAACTTTATATTATTTTATTAAAAGATTTTTTATAATTATTCTTATAATTATAAATAATGTTATATAATAAAATATATGTATATATCGAAAAAAGATCTTTGTTATAATCACTTATGTAACCAGTTTACATAACAAGTATTTAAACAATACTGATAAAGAGAGAAACTCAATGCTCAATTTTCATTTCGTAATTATTTGTTTTTTCTTTTTTTCTTTTATTGTATTTTTACTACTGTAAATTGATTAAAGAATCAAGTATGTATGGGAAATTTGATTTTCTCTCGTTCATTTATTTATTTATTTTTTCTTCTTTCTCTCCTTTTTTTTCTTTTTTTTCCCTAATTGCACCCAACTGAAATTGAAATATTTGAACTGTATTGACTGTCAAAATTCTGTAAAAACATTTTAAAAATTCATTTTCGAAGTTTTACGAATCGACCGGGGACGAACCTCGGCGCCCCATCAAATTACAAAACACAAAAAAAGAATATATAAAAATAAATAAAAAGAAAAAAGTAAAAGAAAAATAGAATGGATAAATAAAAAGGATCATTGTTCGCCGTCGTTGTTTGTTAATCATTGGCTCGCGTAGAAAAAAAAAATAAAAAAAAAAATAAAAATAAAAAAGATATACATATATATATATATATCATATATATATATATATATAATCTCTGTATCTAATTGAACAAATTTTATTCCGATTAATTGTCTTTCACGATCGTATTGGGACGTAATATTTACTAATCAATTAATTTCAGGTTTTTGAACAGGCGTTCAAGTGACGACGCGTGTCATGAGAACGTGAGTTATAGCCGGAGAGTCGCGATATAAAACATAATGTAATAATCCAAAATGACGAAAAAATATTTTAACAAGATAGAAGAATAGAGAATTATTATTCTCTATGGATTGGCGCCGTGTGTTGTTTTGTAGGTAGGAAGGGGAGCATGGAAAAAAAGAAAGATGTGAAAAAAAAAGGAAAGAGGAAAAAAAGAAAAAAAAGAAAAAAAAAAAAAGAAAGAAAGAAAAGTATGTAAAGAAAAAAATCAAGAGAGGACAGAGAGAAAAAGAAAAAAAAAAAAAAAGAAAAAAAAGAACGATCAGGGGAAGAGAAAAATAAATAAAAACAAAAACCAACAAAGCTGTGTACAACCACCACCACCACCACCACCACCACCACCACCACAACACCGCCGATTTCTCTGCACCGCCTTTCTCTATG